CACTGATGAGAACTTAGCAGATCCTTTGACGAAAGGATTAGCTAGAGAGAAAGTCCATAATACATCCAAAAAGATGGGACTAATGCCTATGAAGTAATTAGTTACTCATGATGGTAACCCGACCTAAATGACTGGAGATCCCAAGACTTAGGTTCAATGGGTAATAACAAGTTGTGAGTAATATGAAAATGATCATGCAAGTAAAGCATGAATCCTGAAGTAATGACAGGATGAGATAATAGAAACTCTTAATGATATCTATTCTCTGTATGAGGGAGTACCTAGGCTACAAGAGTACTCTTGATAGATTCACCTATGTGACTGTGGAACTGAGGTCGGTTCCTATGGAATTTCGAGGCAGAATTCCTAGAGCATTCACTAAACCGGGATACACGTGCAAGGCCACTAAAGCACGGGCTACAAGAATACACCTTACGAAAAGGTTGTGTGCGGGTCTGATGTCCGAGATAGAGTTCAAGACAATAGTGTCACTCTTGTTGAATCAGAATCCTACTCGCTACGCTAAGGTTCAAGTCGTAGACACCTTTGCTTATGCACAATCTTAGAAACGTTTGACGGACTTCTAAAATTTCCTTTAAATTCAAGTGGGGGATTGTTGGAACTATAATAATTATAGTAATAGAAATTGAAAAGTGAATTTGAAAAGATTCATTTTAGTCCCACATTGGATGTTGGAATTATATTAATGGGAATTGGAAAGTGAATTTGAAAAGATTCATGTTAGTCCCACATTGGATGTTGGAATTATATTAATGGGAATTGGAAAGTGAATTTGACAAGATTCATTTTAGTCCCACATTGGAGGAATGGAAATATCAGTCTCACTAGCTACCTATAAATAAAGGGTAAAAATTCAGTAGTGAGCACTCCGGATTTCACAAATTCACACGAATTTTGATTTCCCTCTCTCTCCCTTAATTCTCTTCATCTAAACAATTTTCTTTTCTTGGTTTTTTCGACTGGCTATTTCAGCCAGATACTGGACTGACTAGTTTTGCCAGATAATTTAGAAAGGTGTATTTCTAAAGCGATTTATCAGTGTGCAACTGATAATCGTAATTTTGAACAGGCTGTTTTATCCTGGAGGCGTCGTCGTAAATCGACTGCTTTGCATATTTTGGCAGTACGGCGAAACGTCTTAAAGAAAGCGACCTAGTACGCGACTCGTCCCGATAATTTCCTTGTGCCAATATTTCAAATCCGAAAACAACAGTAAAAGAAAGGGAAGTAGAGATGACTGCTCCACCGCGTCAAATATTAGAGGACTATTGCATGAGGACCGACTCTGGCCATATATGTTTAGAATTTCAACCAACTAATCTGGTAACCTTTGACATCAAAAATTATAATCTAACATGTTTAAAGAAAAACTCATTCAATGCAGCCCAACTAGTTCAAGCAATGCGAGTAAAATTCAGGTGCTTCATTATATTTTTTGTTGAGGAGAACATGTAAATGGTAATTATACTACAGAGGTTGAGAGTGCAGAAGTTCAATATGCTAATTTTCAGAAGAATAATTCTTATTCCAACACCTATAATCTGGGTTGAAAAGACCTCTGAATTTCAGGTGGAGCAACTCTTGAATGTTAATCAAGGCATTCAACAAGTCACACAACCACCTCAACGCATGCCTTTACCTCTTGAAGAAGCATTGTAAAATTTCATAAAGTCCACTTCTGAAAGCTTCACAAAGGTAAATCAAGCTCAAGAAAATATAAAAAAATATCAACAAAAGATAAATAGTCATGAAGGAAACTTTGCCTGGCCTATCATAAATGTAGAAAGAGTTGCAAAATTCATTATAGTTCAATCCAAGAGCAAAAAATGTAATCGAAACTAAAGCACTTGACAACATTAAGGAGGAAAGGCCATTTCAGTGTATCAAAAACTTTTGCGATATCTATCTTAAGGGCTAGATTACCACCAAAAGCCTTTTGATGCATGGCATTAGCAACTTCTGAATCCATATGAACACAATCTTTTATGCTCCTCCCATGAATAAAACCTTTTTGCTCATCAAATATTAGGGTAGGCATGATTTGAGCAAGTCTACCAGCAAGAATCTTTGAAATGAATATAGAAATTAGCCATTGCAATAGGTCTAAACTTATCCACAGAGTCAGTTCTTGCTTCTTTAGGAATGAGGATCAATGTGTTAGAATTTAAGTTTGACAACAGCCAATCTATTTTAAAAAACTCTATGGTGGCCTCTCAACATCCTCATGCACAATGTCCCAAAAAGTTTGAAAGAAGTGTGCACCAAAACTATCTGGCTCAGGGCACCATCTTTGTTCAAGTGAAAGACTGCTTTCTTGATCTCCAAGAAGCTAGGCATCATTGTGAGCATGAAATCGGTGCCATTATTAACCAATTTAGGAATGACTTTTCCACAAGCAAATGATCCTACACAATAGTAAAGTTAGTAGAAACAAGGTTTTGAAGTGTGAAGTGATGTGGCCTGCAATGACTTCTGGGCCAGTTACATTTTGATCTCCAACTCTGAGGGATGAGATAGATCTAGATGATTGCTTAATCTTTGCAATATTGTGGAAATATCTTGTATTTTTGTCCCCATCAGTGTGCAATTTCACAATTGCTCTCTCCTGACAAAACAATTTTGCTTTGACAAGGCATCACCCATCTTGACATGTACTTTTTTTCCAAGTCTCATAAAGAGTCATTGTAACCAAGTGACTGAATTTTCTCTCGAATGTCCCTCAAATCAATCTCAGCCACCTTTACATACTCGTGCATATTTCCAGAAACTTATTTATTCCAAACTTTGAGGTTGTTTTTCATACTCATGTGTCCCCAATATGACATTGAAGTTACTAATGAAACACCAAGCATTGCCATACTGGAAAAGAGTGTCAATGCTGCATCCACAAATTCTAATTCTTGTGAACTCGAGTCATCCTCCAAGTCCACATTGTTTTTTTGTTCATTTCTAGCGCTTTTTTCAACATCATTCAATTTATCTATTATTGCATCCTCCTCATGAATGAGAGCCTCAAATCTATTTTGCTTAACCACACCTCTCTTACTAGTACATGTTTCATTTATCCTTGGTTGGGGTGGTGTAACATCAACCACCACTTCTTTGCCCTTGTTAAGCATTGTTATTTCTATTGATGACTCTAAATCCTTCTCTTCAATAGAACCTTTTATGTCGCCATCTTTGACTTGAACATAGGCTTTAGATTTTCCTCTCTTGGATTCTACATTGTCCTTCGTGACTTTTTCTTCTAGATTATCCTCCATAACATGAATTCTTTTGCAAACTTTCTGTTGTGACCAATGATTGCAGAAATCAAGTAGGTTATCATAACTTAACTCCAAAAAAAAAAAAAAAGCAAAACCATGTCTTTCAACTAGATCTTTACCACGAAGGGGTAGGGTTGAATCCATGTCAATCAAGAGCCGAACATAGTGAACAAGAGCCGTCCATGTATGTTATATTTGCAGGCTTCTACCCCTGCTAGATACTCGGCTTCAGGGATTGCATTAGCAAGATGAAAAATTTTAAAAGAATATTTTTTTAAAATAAAATATAAAATATTTAAGTGGACCATAAATATATTTAACTCTTAATTATATAATAACAAGATATTTAGTGGTTAGATTTTGGTATACAAAATGTTTTTATTTTATTTATTTTTTTAAAAAGATAGCTAAACTTAAATGGTTATGTGAAATATTTAATAAAATAACAATTTCAAAAGTGCTCCAAGTTTAAGTAATTCCTCCAAAAGTAATTAAAGTAGATATTGAGACAGCTATTTATTAAAAAAAAATATTGACACAATTCTTCAATTTAAGAACTAAACGCAAAATGTTAAATTTAACAATTCAACTACTGAAACTTGATTTTGTCAATAAAAAATTCAATGATTTAATAAACTATAAATTTTCTCACAATTTCAAAACTATTTTATAGTACAAATAAACTTAAATCAAATATAAAATTCATGTATATTCAAAATACAAAATACAAAAAGTAAAATAAAAAAAAAAAAAAATCAACTATGAAATCTAATTCCTAGAATCATTCAATTTATTTAAAGTTTGATGTTTACAATCATTAGTACAATATATCAACAAGTTATTATATAGATTTTAACAATAAATCAACTTTTAAAAAATCAGATAAAAAATATATTTGTAAATTCATCAAAAAAAGATTAAATAAATATAGAAATAATTTATTCAACAAAAATTATAAGGATAGTTTTTTCCAATCCATAAGTTTAACTAAATATGTAGACAACTAATTCAAAAAATTAATTAATTTTGAAGTAACAAAATATTTAAAAAATGACATTGCCTATAAAAATCAACTGTCTACAATAAATCAGTGTAAAATTATAAACAAAATGATTTTTGTTGCTGAACTAAACAAAATAAGTTTAATAAGACACAAGTAACACCTTCCAGACGGCACGGCATTATTCAACTTCAGATTTCTATATTTTACTCTGATAAATCCGTACAAAAACAATGGGACTCGACTTATTATTTATCAATACAAGAAAATTTCAGAGAAATTGGTTGTTTCTCAGCAAAACCTGCGCTACAACATGTATGTATGTAAACCCAAGAATCCAATAGCTACACTATATGACGAATCCCACCTCCTAATTACAAAAAATTAGTCAGAAAATCCCTTTCCTTATCTCTTCCTGTTTCCTATTCTAAATTTAGATTAAAAAAAAAGCTACAAAATAGATATTCTGTTACAGATGCAGATGTCTTCCATGACCATTGGTAGTGTGATCTGTTATACAGTTGAAGCCACAGAAAAATATGCAAAGACTTTTTGTCCGTTGTTAGGTCCATATCAAGCATTATATCATCAGGCAGACCTAACAACTGTAACCATTAAATTAGGTTTCTACAAATTCTGATCTTGTGCTCAATTCATTTGTGCAAATATTCTTTCCGTAGTATTTGCTGAAAATGCAAGTTAGATACGATGGATCAATCGTCATCTTCCGTTAAAGAAGCAAATGAAAAAGGCTTGAACTTGTAGCCATCACCATGGTAGAATTTATTTTGAAATTCTACCCAGTGAAGCCGCAGGGCATGAAGAAAAGCACTGAGACTCTCCATCATGAGTAGTATAAAGGCAGTTGCAAAGGCAAAAACAGTTAGCCCCACTAACCGAATGATGAGATTGTCATACCTGTTTTAATTGCAACCAGAAATGCCATTAATAATTAAAGAATAAAATATGAAAGTTATACTCCAAGTTTAGTATTTCTCTATGCATATCTGCCTTAATTTCAAAAAGAAAAGTACAAACTTCAGAGATGTAAGAATGAAATAAAAAAATATTTGTAACATTTGGGGAACAGCTATTGTCTTGATAAGGTGCCTATCAACGGTCACCTCATCTAAATGAGCTATTTCGTTTTGTCTATCAAGGGAAGCGCATGGAATGATTAAATGGTTTGAACTGAAGTATAAAAGAATCAAACTCACCCCCAAGCAAGAAGCAGCACTTTCTCATAGAAAACGGTAGAAAGTTCGGAGTGAGCCAAACTGCACATGTTAAGAAAAATTAATCAATGAGCAAGAATCTGTAAACAAGAGATTCATTAAGATACAGGAGGATCGTGGCTGAGCAAACCTTAATGCCCACAGTCGAAGATATGATGCCGTATTAGAAACTGAACCTAAAACAAACTCGATGGAATGAATCATTTGGTGAACAAAAACCTCACTGAAATTGAACTCTTCATGATGATGTTCCCTGGCAGAATCTGGCTCTACCTCAAGATCCATTTCAGAAGTATTCAAAATACCATAACTACGGCCTTGAAATCGCTGAACAATGTCAGAAGGATAAAAAATTAATAATTTTGGCAGGCTCCTGTGTATCATCTTTTTAGTTACAAGATGCAACACAAGTATTGAACAAAGTAACTATAGCCTGAAAATCTGTCTGCATTTGCCAACAGGAATTATAAGTAATTTAGCATTTATGCATATTCATTTGAAAGAAAATTGGTTTTGTAATGGTTCTCAAAGAGCATTGACATTAATCAACTCTTGCAGATACTCACGGTCAAAAATGGGAAACTCAAACCACAAGCATATGTACACATACAAATGAAATTATAAACTTCCTAGCAAGAAAACCATACATAAGGTAAGTAAAAGTGGCACCTCAGTATGAAGCTTCTTTAGTATAAAAGGTTTTGGAAAGAGCATCCATGGAACTGCAATTATAGCCAAAAGCAATAACACAATCTGGCAAATCAAGAGCAGTAATTTAGACAGATGAAAAGCCAGCAAACAGAACAGCAAATTTTAAGCAAAAGTGGAGAAAAGAACCAAACACATACTTGAAGTGGTCTTTGGCCCCAAAACAACTGATTTTCACCAAGTTCATCCGTAGGGCTTAAAAACATATATATCATCACATGATAAAGGTCTGCTTGAGAGCCAGTACACCACTTAACAATAATGAGAAGGGAAAGATATCCAAAGAGACTGTTAAGGAAAATCATCTGCGGCACAAATTGGTACCTGAGAGCAACATTAGACGAAGTTAAAACATTCTCCTGAGAAGATGACGCAAACAATTGCATGGGTCAGGCGGAAGAGAGACACACCTTATATCCAATGAGCTTCCAAAGAAACGAGCATTGAAATAACTTAATATAATTCCCAAGTTCATATGTGCCACACCAAACAGAATGGACATCTTCATCTTCATAGAGTTCAAAAAAGATAATTCTGTACGACTTCCACGCCAGCTAGGATCCACACCAAATGGGTATGGATCACGGTATTTGACTAAACCAATAGTATGTGCATCCCTAAGTGGAGAATCATGAAATATCAAAAGGCACCAAAGTTAAAAGCTTGTTGCTTTAGAAATAAAAGGAACTTAACTGCATTCTTGGCATACAAACAGCCAAAATCGAGACAATTCAAAGAAATATAAAATACATAAAGCTAAAACAAAATAGTGCATTCTTGAAAGAGAATATGGCAAAATAATTCCCAATGACATAAATATGAAGTTAAATTACTGAGTGAAATGTGAATCATTAGTACATGGCGAGGGGACTAAGGAAAACACAATTCAGTAACAAGTACATAACGGGAATTTTCTCTCTATAAAACCACATCATAAAACCTAGAAATTAAGAAAACTCTCCCAGAACTAACACTGAGTTCAATTGATGGTTTCTACTAACTATACATCCATCTCATTGTGGTGGTTTATAGCTTAATCTAAGAGAAGTAAAACTATTTGAATTAATATTTGTCTTTTGAAAACTAGCTTCTTTTTAAAATTAAAAATTAAAAAAAAAAAACACCTAGCTTCTTTGGTCACTAAAGATTCTTAAAATAACAAGAACCTATGATCTCTACCTAGAACCTATGATTCTTAAAACACACTACATCGCCAAGAAAGACATCATACATCTAGACAATAAAACAAAATAAAAATTAGTGGTACCAAAGTTAGAGGCTCCAAGAGATAAATAGAACACACCTGCATGAAGTATCCCGGCATTGAAATGCTGATGGGCCAAATATGTGAAAAGGAACAGAAAAGAACTCATTGTAGATTAACCCACAATAGATTGAAAATAGTGACATCAAGAGAATCACATATCGACCACCAAATAGCATCTCCATGAAGCTTCCAAGCTTCTGAAAGAAGCCAAATAGAACTATTAGGTATTAATTGCAATGCCAAGAACAGAACAAAAGTAAAGAATATTTAAGTCTCTAAACAATTTTGACGCACTACTCTCTCCATCCCAAATTATATAATGTTTTGACCAGTTCACACAAATTAAGGAATGAAGTTAATTTTGTATAGGAAAGAGAAATCAAGAGATGATTTACAAAATCATCCTTCATTAGTTACATGTGGGAGAGAAATTTAAAGAATTGGAAGACGAATGTGTAAAAAATAGTAGGGGGTATAATGGGAAAATAATCATTAATGTTTTATTGGTAAAGTGACCTATGATTTGTGACAATTGTTCTTTTACAAAGTGACTTATAACTTGGGACGGAGATAGCATAATAGAGATATATTTCACTAAAAGATTTCAATTTATAAGACATTTAGGCATCAACAAACATAAATATTGCAAGAAACAAATTTTTAAAAATGTCTCCTCTTAGCTAAATCATGCTAAACACTGAATGCTCGGTAGCTAACAATAAAGAGCTTAATTGACATAATTCTTTGAACATCAACAATGGTGACCCTACTTCAAGTTAGAAGTAAAAGGAAGAATGTTCAAATTTGACAAATCTTGAATAACTTGTTTATTAATCCAGGATTGAGCATAACATATGTCATATGATCCGTACAGCGTAACATATGTCACATGACCCCTTACATAATTTGGCAGATCTTTCTATTGTTACTTTATTTAAAACACAGGATGATTTTTTACCTGTGTACTGAGCTTGTTTTCACGTGATATAAGAACTAATGCTCCCAGCAACAGGCAAATTCCATGACCCCAGTCCCCAAACATCATAGCAAATAGGAAGGGGAATACAACAGTTGTGTAAACTGCGGGATTTGCTTCTTGGTATCTTGCAACACTGCGAAGAAAAAGGGCTTATTAAAGATGCAATATAAACCTGGAACGTAATAACTAGTGAGCTAGATAATTTGTACCCGCAACAATAACCCCTCAACTTAATCCAGAAAGCCAAATCTCAAACATGTATATTTTAGTAATATCATATGGATTAACTGCTAGGGATGTTTTACAGCCTCTTGGACATACATTCCAATCAACAAACAAGTTTAGAAATAGAAAAGGAAGGAGTAGGAAAGAGACAACTCTCCAATTTTTTTCTTTGGAAAGGCTCATTCATCCGAGTTTATAGATAACCTTGTGAAGTAATGTTCACTTTAAATATTAAAAGTTTTACTGCTTCATCCCTAGTATACAAAGTTTGTTATTCTCCATCATTCGTTCAAAAATATTTCTTCATGAACTTAAAAATTTTAGTTTCACTTCATTGAGAATTTATTTATTCCAAAAATAAGGTCTACAAGTTATAGGTGTAAAATATACACTAATCAGAAAGTTGTGTGTGCCACTTGCAAGTGCCAACATAAACTCAATTTATAAATTCTACATACAGTAGTCAGACACCCATCAATCTATTCGTGCAGAGGTATTGCACATTGCCGCCCAATGTTCTAACTTAAAGAAACAAATGCACTTTAAAACACTCCAAAAACTAACTTCATGACATTAATATATTCATGCTACTGCTACTAAATACAGTCAATAGAGTTAAGCTCACCCATATGCATCAACAATTTCCTGATAAGGATTTGTGAAAGTGTTGGTCTTAAAATATGTAGGTGGCGATTCCACTGCATCCATTTGATGGAAGATTATGCCAACTTGAGAATTGCTATCAAAAGTTGCACGTCGCAGTGCCTCTTGCATCTGGAAAATCAATGACCAAGTTATTTTTAAAAATACATATATACCAATGACGTTTTCAATTCCTCAAAAATTTAGGAAATAAAACATACCTGTGTTTTTGCAATCATAGGGCACCATCCTTCTCCAACAAGACATTTTTTAGTGACATCAAAATTTAACATGTTCAGTGTATCATACACGGCCTTCTCTCTTCTTACCTAGGACAAGGTGACAAGGTGACAAGGATGAAATCTATTGGTTCAGGTTGACACGATTGCAAACATTGATCAGATATTAGGATTAATTTGCATTTAAAATATATAGAACAAAATTATCCCAGATATTAAGACGTGGAGAAGCAAACTCTTACCAGGTCCATCCATTTTGCTAGATGGTCTGCAATAGAAGCCAGCGCCTTGTTCCGGTGCCTAATCCCAGCATCCAAAGTTGCCTCTAAGTCAGTAAGACGTGATGTAACCTATATCCAAATGTGAAGTTTTCAACCATAAGCCACACAGCACTTTGCAAGTTTGTAATCACCAAAGATAAAATATATAAATCAACATCAAGGCATAAAAGAAAAGGCACTAAGTGTAGTAGATTTCAGGTCAATGAAAAACTTATTTTCCCCATGCATAATGGTATTTCTATGAAAGACTTCACAAAAATTATGACACTTCATACTAATAAATCAAAGAACATCTGAACATAACCAATTGGAGTGCAAAACCTGAATAATAGTTCCCCAGTATTTAGGTTTAAATACTACAAAAATATTCTCATTCGAACTTTAGCTACAAATATCCAAACTTTATCTAGAGCACACTTTGTCCATATGTTGTAATAATACACTTGAAGAGGTTAATAGTAAAATATTACAAAGTAGAGCTCACTTACCTCCCTAGTTATTTGGCCATGCTTGCTTATATCTTCAGGAACAGGATAACAATTTGCACCAAATGCCTCGCAAATTTTCAGAATCTTTGTTCTTGCCTGTTCCCCGGAGAAAAACACAACGAATACTGTTTTCTCAATCTGAAAAGAAAATTACAGGAGTCTGAATCACTGTGTAGACAGGGTACAGCGTGGGAATATACACCAGCTGTGAATGCAATAGGACAAAATGATAAATACAGATTGAAGAGGGAAAAGAGCCAAACTATCAATCTTCATAAAGTTGTAAGAAAGAAGAAAACCATCTCAGTTGAAACAGGATCCATGATTTGTTCGCCAGCTGGTGCATGATTGAAAAGCATATTGCCTCTTGTAGCACGAAATAACATTCTTTCGAACCTAAGAGCCTTGGATTTACAAATTATCCCACTGATAAATCTTAAACCAGACGTATTTGATGGCTCGGGTCTCATTTCCTGTAAAATATACAATTTAGCATAGTGCACTTCATGGACAAAATAAATTTAAAATAAAGTACACATTAAAGAAAAAATATATCAAGGATGGGATAAACAAGGAACCTGATCAAGCAAAGATGATGTATCAACATAGTCCCCATTTGAGTACACATTATCTTGTAGTTCTACCTCGTCTGAAATAGCACGACCATGACTAGAAATAAGAAAACTGCATGCCTGAAATTTAGCAAAAATATTATACCAAATGAGAAGCAGGAAGCGTAGAGGATACGTTGTATTCATTAAATAAAATAACAGGAGGACTGCATTCATGAATTCAAAAAAATACTATATTGGTGTTTGAGTGACATAATAATTTTAAAAATTAAACATGTTAAAGAAAAAAAAAATCAATAACTAATGTCAAATTATCATCAGAAAGAGCATTAATTGTTAAATGAACTCAACAGGAAAAAATGTAACAACTACCAAAATCAAAGGGATCAAATAGATTGTGAAGGAAATAAATACCTTCTGTAATACAATCTTGAACTCCAAAAGTTCGTTATATGATTGCCGAAGCTTGTCACTATTAGAGTTCATTTCAATTAGCTCATGTTCGTGCTCAGCAAGATGTACCTGATAAAAGAGAAACCCAACAGAACATCTAGTCAGGTCCAAAAGTGAAAATCCTTGAGCAAACTGAAAAACTGCTGCTCAGTAATGAGTGCCAACTTAAGTTATGGCATCACGTACTTTTAACAGCAAGACAACATGTAACTCGAATATTAACCCTTAGGCAACAATCATATTTGATGTAGAAAAAAAACAGAAGGAAACCTCTAAATCCTCCAAGTCAATGTCCGGTTGCAATAGAGTACGAGAAGACGACATTAGACCAGCTTTATCGATTTGATCCTTGAAAAATCGTAGCTTTCTTGACATTTCTGCACATCGCTTTACCTGCCAAAATGAAATGCAGTTAATATCTGTAATAAGGAATAAAAAAGATAGAAATCATATCACAATCATGACTTCTGAGTTTAAACCATAACAGTGCCTCCACCAGTCTAAAAATAAACTAAAAAAGACAACAAACTCAATGGACACCAAATTCTAGAAAATATACTCACTTTAGTCTCAAATATAAATAAATAAATAAATAAATAAATAAAATCAAACTTGCACCAAGTCACTAATTAAGATCAGTTAACTCTTTAATTTTATTAATATAATAATCATAAAAGTAATTGCATCTTCCAAACTTCCCTCGTGGGAATTTGCTTCATGGGTGGTTTTAGAAAATAAAATGCAAATTAATTGAAGGGTACTTTATGATTGATATCACAAAAAATGGTGTAATTAGTTCATATTTACTTATATATTGGACCACCAAACATAAATCTTTTTTTTTTTCTGTTTTTGCTTTTATTCGGCGTAATGAAATCAAATTTTGAGCAGTAAGATAACTACAATCTAAGTCCAACTTACTTCATTCCTGTATAAGTTTCTTTACACAAGTAAATAAAATTGTAAATGCTAGCAAACAAGGAAATGGTGTCATAAGCATTGACCATATAGAGAGGTCTCAAACCCCAAATATAGACAGACAATATCTACAAATTATACAAATGAGGTTCTTTTTCAAAAAAAAAAGTGTAGAGATATACACATTGTATGGCTAGCCAAAGAAATAGAAAAAGAAATCGGAGAGAAGAGAAAATGAAGCGGAGTTAAGTGAAAAATATGTATGGTTTGGTTGGTACAATGGCAGAAAGGAATGAGGAAAACTTTTCCAATTGTTGGGATGAGTATGAGAGTAAGTAGAGAAGAATAGAAAGAATATACATAAACAGGTTTTAATCCTTAACCAAGTTTGGTAAGTTGACATTACTAATTGATTAGAAACATTTCATAATCGACACACACACACACACACACACGTATGGTAATAGACTAAAATACTATGGTGATTGATTAAAGAGTGATAATATGTGTAAAACGCACACTCTTCCTCCACCCTTTTCCGTACAGTGTACAGACAAGAGAGATTGAATATTTCTCTTTGATCTCTCTTCTCTCTATTTATATCTTTCCAAAATCCACCCATCCAAACAATACAGTTGCGTAATTCAGAATGTTACAGGAGTTCTCACTAGTGCAACAAAGAGTACCTGATTAACAAACGTTCTCTGGAAAGGGCTTTTGTCAGCATTTAACTGCAGACCAAAAAAAGTGTTCATAAGAATTCAATGCTGAAATAACATAGAAAACTATTACACCAGCAATATCCAATTATAAAATTTAGAAGGCCAAAAAGTACTTCTACATATGGAGGGAAACAAAATAGTCTAAAACAAAATTTGAATACTATTTCATAGTACACCTGTAAAACAGCCACTCAAATTACCTTTTACAAATAGGTGTAGTTGGATAGCATTGTGTATAATATTACAAAGATACAACATTTAAACTCAAACATTTATGAGTTAAAGTTTCTCCAAGCACAATTGTGCGACAGAATAGACCATAATCAAAAAACTAGCATATTATTTATTTGTAAGCCAAACATATCCCGGTGAGGCCAGTCAGAATCCGGCTCAAAAACTACCACTTCCAAGAGGTATAGCAATTCTCACATATAGATCGGCTCTCCACTAGTTTTAAAGCAATTACTGAGTATTATCCTTAAACAATATTTTAAAACAGAAGCTAACGGTAGAGAGTAATAATAAATAACAATCTGAATCACAAAATAGTCTTCTAACATGATACCACATCCACATGCCTGATGATAATAGTCAGCATAAGCAAAACCATTAGGTCCTAAATTACAATTCGAAATAACCGTTATCGACGGTATTTGAATACACAATTACATATTAATACAGTCTAACTTCAAAAAAAAAAAAAAACAATCAAACAAGTTTCAACATACAGCGGTGTTCTACAAGTTGACTGCAAATTGAAACCGAAAAATCACAGTATTCATCTCTTGAACAAATGAGAAAGGATTACTATATTAACCACCTTCATCTTAACTCGAACAAACTTATGAACTAATAACTAAATACTCAATAGTGCTCCACAACTCATAATAATGCAATCATACAACAGAATCCATACCTCCCAAGTCATGAACCATAATTAGATTCAACAATTTTTTAACAAAACTATCCTCGAACTTCGGATCAGTTGCTACAAACTATTCAGTAAGAAGGATCCAAATCAATCACACTAACCTATCAATAAATCCACACACCGGCACTAGAATCCTACAAATTTGCATTCAGCATTGAACCATCGATTCATGCAGTACTGCATTTTCACCATTTCTTAACTCCCGCACTCAATTCAACTAACATTCAATTCAAATAATAAAAATAATAATTAAAAAAACTGATACAGATTATAGAATAATCCATGCAGAACAGTAACCGCTAAAACTGCATAATGAACTCAACGAAAACCTCAAAAACACGAAAGAAAGAAGAAGAAAAACTCGGAATCAGGACCAAACGATTTGGATCTGGAAGGTAACTCACGTCTCTGAATTGAAGAAGACCGAGTTCGCCTAAATAGGAGACGGCACGCTGAGCGGACTCGACCGGGATGATGAGTTGAACGAAAGTCATCTTCTCCGATCGCATCAGATCCATCGGCGGTAAGTTATCAATGAAGCGCTCCATTTTCCCGGGGAACGTCGAGAAAATGGATCTGTGGATAGATCTGAAACCGTGTTTCAGAGAGAGAAGCTTAATTTGAAGAAATTCAATTTGTCATTAACAGCTGCAAATAGAATGGGGAAAAGAAAATTGCGTATACTTATCAAAGTCTAATGGAAATGGAAAAAAGTAGGAGAGTATTTTAGAAATGACGCTATTCAAATACAAGTTATTGGTGTTGCTTTTGAGTGTAAATTCTCTAACACATGATGGTCATGGTGAATTGGTGACGGTGCGGTCATATTTCATAATCTTACAAGCTGTATATGTCAACACAAAAAAAACTGCTGCGATGCATTACTATACTACACATGTACTTTTTTTAATTATTTTTTAATTAAAATTGCTTTTGTATTCCTTAATTTTAATAAGAATATTGTGCATTAAAAATTATGTGAGACAGTATACCACAACAAACTGTTTGTGTTGTTAAGTTTGTTATTGTATGTTTGTTGATTGTATTTGATTAAAGTGACTTGAAATAGTTTAGAAATTTATAAATGGTTATGATGATGTATAGATGGGAAAAATTATATATAAGATAAGTGTGTACTTATTTATAGAAATTGGTAAAAATGATTATATTAAAGATAGAATTTGTTGAGATTATGTGTGAAACTTAAAATATTCATTTCTTTAGTAATTTTATGTAATGATATGAATTACATCAATACATCGGTTAAGTTAATAGTTTATTGTTAAATAGATCATGTATGTATAAAATTTTAAATTATTTGATATTTCATCACAATATTTTATTATAATTAATTACAAACTATTTAAATCATATATAAATATTAATTATTACAATATTTATTAATTGATTTAAAGTTATTTAGAACTTTGTATATGTTATGGGATAATTTTGTTGGACCTAAAAGAGGACGATCCATGATAAAGCGATTTGAATCAAATGCAACAATGTTGGTGAGTGTTCGAATTGGGCCTAGTCTCCTAAAGCGGGCTTGGTATCCAGAATAAGGTTTGGTCACGCGAAGCGAGCTTAGTCGTTGGAATTGGGTTTAGTCGTCCGACTCGAACATACTATCACTTATCCATACCAACTTATATGTGGCTTGAGAGATGTGAAAATAAACTATCAGTCTTGATCGAATCTTCGGGAAAAACCATTTCTTCAAGAAACGAAAAAAATGGTTCCTTCATAATGCCACATGTTCCTTAAAGGGGGGAGGATTGGTTATTGGACCAAATTTGATCCATAAAGACTCTTATAAATATCTCAACCTCCATAATGCCACGTGAGTCCTCTCTAATTGTAAAATGCCTCGGATTCTCCCTATGAGTATTTAAAATCACATAGAACCACACATGTGATGTTGATGATGAAGGTTCGTACAAAGTATCAAATCAGAATGTCTTTGAACTGGCAAAGTCTAGGATCGTGGAGACAAAGACATATAACGTATGTGATTGCTTTTGTGTGCAATGACTCGTTCACGCTTTACTTTGATTGGATGTTTCATATCTGCATTTTTGAACTTGATTATATAGCTAAAATCATTGTATGCTTAGTTAAAGTCTCTTAATAATGAAAATATCCAAATCTAATACTTATTTAAATGTCTGTTTGCAAAGAGTATTTGATATATTAATGTATTGGCTTAATTGATTTAGTCTTAGGTGATATATTTATAGTGTCACAGAGAGGTCTTTGAGAATCACTTGTTAACTAATGGCATTGGTCGTCAATCATTCTAACAGTAATGCTCAAGGACCAACTAATTTAGAAGAATGAGTTATGTCAGTTTAGAAGAATGAGTTATATGACATAGTAGATGCAAATTCCTAAAATTGCCATGAATTAGAAATCATATTACAACTCTTGAAAATAAAAATGAAAAATGGATTGAGGATTGCATCAACTTAGAAAATAAGTTTTAAGTTTTAATTAAGTTTCTACTCCTTCCAATAATATGGACATCAAGCGTATAGGTTGTGAGAATTTGAAAAATAAAGTTGAAGATTGTATAAAGAGATAGAAAATATGAATAATCAATTAGATACACTAGAATGTATAGTGGTCATCATATTCATATTAACAGGTTAAAAGAGAAATATATAAGAAAGGAAAATTGGTCAATCTCATATACTTAATACAAAACTCTAGTAATATATTATTATAATATAACTCTTAATACTCCCCCTCAAAGAAGAGAATATAGATTAATCATGCACAACTTGATACAAATGAAATCACTAAACGGCTCAGTCAATGCCTTTACAGACAAATCTACTAATTTATCTCCTGACATAACATAGGAAGTAGATATGAGATTTTCTCGAACCTTCTTTCTGAAAAAGTGATACTCTACCTCAATGTGTTTTTTTCTTTTGTGAAAGATTGGATTTAATGTGATATGTATGAAACTCTGGTTATCATATCTTAATTTCATAAGACAATTATTCCCAAAGCTCATCTCATCCAAGATTTGTATTACCCATATTATTTCACAAGTAGTTTGAGTCATAGCCCTGTATTTTACTTATGCACTTGATTTTGCTACTACATTTTGTTTCTTACTTTTATAGGGTATCGAATCACCTCTAAAGAACATATAGTATCTTGTGGTAGACTTCTGATTCACTGAACATCCTACCCAATTTGAATAAGGAAAAGACTATATCTGCATATGCCAATGATCTTGGTATACAATTCAAGTTATTGAAGATTTATTCAAATATTTAACAATGTGGATTAGTGAGTCCCAATTATTATAAATGGGGGAAGACATGAATTAACTTAAACACTTACAAGAAAAGCAATATCAGGTCTAGTAACAATTTACTAATTCAATTTTCCCACCAATCTTTTATACTTCTATGAGTCAGAGAGCAGATCTCCATCCAATATCAACTTAACTCTAGGATCCATTGGAGTCTCACATGGTTTAGATCCTATCATATCAGTTTCACTCAATAGATCTTTAAAATATTTCCTTAGTGAAAGTAAAATACCCTTCTTTGAATACATAACTTCAATGCCCAAGAAGTACTTCAATACTCCGAAATCTTTGGTCTAAAACTTTGTTTGGAGGAAAGCCTTTAGTTTATCAATCATTTTTCTATCACTTATTGTAATTACAATATCATCAACATACACCACAAGTAAGATATTTCTATAATTGGTTTTATTTAAAAATATTGTATGATCACTATGACATCTTTCCAGCTCAAATGTTAAAACAATTTCACTAATTCTCCTAAACAAATACCTATATGTGATTGTTTCAAACCATACAAATATTTCTTTAAGCAAAACACTTGTTCATGCTCCCCTTCATGAATAAAACTAGGTGGTTTCTCCATATACATCTCCTTTTGTAAGTCACCATGCAAAAAGACATTATTCACACCTAATTGAAACAAGGGTTAGTGGTACTTGACAACATGATATATAATCATACAAATAAATGAAATCTTAGTCAAAAAAAGTATCAGTATAGCCAACTCTATATGTTTGGGTATATCCTATGGCAATTAGTCATGTTTTTAAGCACGCCACATAGCCATTTGGATTAACCTTGAAAGTATAAACCCACTTTCATCCAATAGTTTGCTTCCTTGTAAGAAGAGGAACTAATTTCCAAGTTTCATTATGTTCGCGAGCCTTCATTTCCTCCTTTGTAGTTTATCTCCAACCATCATGATTAATAACATTTGAAAGAGATTTAGGAATAAAAATAGAATATATGCCATAAACAAAGTATTTAAAAGTAGAGGACAAAAGACTAGAAGATGTATAAGAGGAAATGGGATAAGTGCAATTATGTTTACCTTTGTGTAAAGAAATTGGAAGGTCATCTACAAAACCTACAGTAACTCGAAGGGGTAAAGGTTGAGTATCTTTTGAGATATCCTCTCTTGAAACCTATGGACGACGAGAATATGTCTTGCTAAAGAGCATAAATATGATTTAGGTTATCAAACTTACCAAAATTAAATTTTAAAATATCCCATGAACCTTTCACAATCTTGTAGTGAGTAATATCTGATTGAATTCGCCTATAAACATAATTCACAAGTAAGGCAAAAGTGTATTTATCCTCTATATTCCATATTGTTGTTGTCTTTGTTTCCTTTGGGCATACTTTTGTTAAATGACCATACTTTTCCATTCCTCTGAGACTAACTTCAACTAGATGCTTCCACTCAACATAGTTATCAACATCCCCATCAAGCTTGATGTCAGTGAGTATTATGGAAGTAGTAACGAACCCAGTAACGGGATTTTGGAATTTCCTTTGATGTTGTTTTCGATTCCCTTCAACATTGTTTAACCAACAATGCAACAACACCAATGATTTCTACTCGCAACCTCACAAAAATACACTAAATCAATGTAGAACACCACTAAAACACTACAATGTACAACCACTGAATCCACCAAGATTTTATGAACTCTAAAAAATTCCCTAGTGTATCCCAAAAGTAGGAATCATTTGTTGCCGAAAGTGCGTGTTTCGAATTGCATAAAAAGAAACATTAAAAAAATTGTGATTTTCCTAATTTGTGAGTTTCTCCATGAGTCAGCCACCAAATTTTTTCCATCCATCCAGCATACTTAATCGACCTTCTATGAAGTTGTTGGTAGGGTTAATTTTTTTATTATTTTTTAGTGACGGTGATAAACTTTTCTAAAACCTAACCGACTTTAAATACCATGTAGAAAAAATGAAAAATCAATCAGATACACTTCAATTTATAGTGAGTCTTACATTTATATTAATATGTTAAAATAGAAATTCATAAGAAAGTCAAATTAGTCAAGCCAATATACTTAATAATAAACCTTAGTAACTTATGTCTTATAACATACTACAAAGAAGATGGGTTAAGTAAAGCTAAATTTGAATTTACCTTTCATGAATTATTTTCTATATGTAAAATCTTAATAAAGAAACTAGTAGGTTGAAATATATAATCACCACTTCTAAAAATCATAT